TGTAACCTCGTTGCCATATTATTCTCTTTGTTTTCCCTCTCTTGCTGATAAGAATATTGATATATCCAAGTGTGGTACCACGCAGCCGAAATCTGTAAATACGAGACTTGTTTCAAGCATCTTCCCTGCAAGAGCTTGCATATACACTGTTTTCAGCCTTGTCTCTCGCTATCGTGGTCGAATTGACGAGCTCCCCCTCCCACTCCCATGTCTATTCCGGGTTGGCTTGCTTTCTGTTCCACTCCACACATTCGTCAAACCCAACGCCCGTCCCGCCAAAACAATCCAAGGCGCTCCCAATCGTGAGATCTACCTTGCCTCCACTAATCTGTTTTACCGTTTCCAGATCCTCTAGGTGTCTGCCTCCACCAGCGTATGTCACCGGAATGGAGCACCATTGGGAGAGGCGTTCCACAAGCTTTTCGTCTATGCCCCTTTGAAGACCTTCGTTATCAGCAGCATGAACGAGAAATTCCGAGCAGTACGGTTCGAGTGATTCGATGGACGCTAACAAAAAAGTATAAGCTCATAGGATCATCGTTTTCGGAGATGATCTGAACTGACCTTGGTTGATTTCCATATCCGTGATAGTTTGCCATTTGTTCATAGCCACATACCAGCCATCTTCCCCGCGACGACGACAGCTCAGATCGATGACCAATTTGTTTTTGTCCCCGTCTAGAGCTTCAAGCACCGCATCTAGTCTTGTCTGGCTAAAATGGCCATCCGGAAAGAGAAAAGAGGTGATGATGACCTGGCCGAAATCAGTAACGCAGCCATTGAAACATGTGCCTTGAAATTGCTGGGGCGTCGTCTACCTTTTCTGCACCGGCATCAATCCACTCCTTGGCGTTCTTATCGCTGATGCCACCACCAACTTGGAGTCCCCCGGCCATGTTTGCAACGCCTGTCTCGCCGCAGTCTCATTCCCTCCGCCAAGCATAATCACATGGGCCCCTTCAAGACCACTGTCTCGGTAGAGCCGCGCAAAATGCTCCGGCGGGTGCGGTGACACATAATTCGTCTGCAGAGCTGCCGATGAGCTGTCCAAGGTACCGCCAACAATCTGCTTCACCTGGCCAGCATGAATGTCTATACAAGGCCGAAAGCGTGTCATTTTTGGAGGTTTGTTTTCCACCGAATGACTGAACGGATCCGGGAAAGATGACTGCGACTTCGGACGGGCGAGGGATGATCAGTTTCAGTCTGTTCGAGTCAGCGTAGCGTTGGTGGGGCGAGCTGGTGAATGGAGCTTGGGTGCAGGTGAGGAAGACCGGAAGCATGGACCGACGGTTTATGGAGCTCTGCAAGAAAGGTGACGCCATTTAAGTTACAGTGGCCGCATCAAAAATAGAACATAGTAGTTTTTCTTCTTCTTCTTCTGACTTGTGCATAAGGTACGTGAACTCCGTCATACCTATGCATGTCGTGCCCAACCTCTCCAATTCCAACGGCTTCAAAAATAGAGAAACCCCAGACTCGAGTTCCAAGGTTGTTCAGGTCCCCATTATAAGACCCGCTGTAGCTCCACGTCATGCCAATGCTCTCCAGGGGCTGTCATGTTTGAGGTCGCCGAACTTGTTCAAAGCTTCCATTCCTTTTCCGCCCCGTTCCAGGTTGCCCAACCTCTCCTCAAGACTTTTCCAGCGGCGATATTCTCAATGCCAGGCGAAGTCATCTTACTCTTCACACCATTATCAATATCGTAATTCTTATTTTCAGCTAATATTGGCGACAGAATCAATCTGCACCTGACTCCATCTCCAAAGAGAATATTGTTAGAAGTTTCTTCTCATTTCTCTTTATTTCGTACATTCTTTCTTCTGTCCTTGTTATAGGATATGGAGGCAAACAACTGGGCCCCGGCATTGTATGAAACAAGTCATATAAGCTCAAACTTCTCCAAAACAGATCCACTGAAGAAGTCCTGATTATCTTGGATAGCAAGACTATCCCAAGGACGGGGTACCCCTAAAGACTTTCTTTTACTGGCCGAAGGGTTAAGAATGTGGAAAAGTCCTACTCGGCTAAACTGTCGCCATGGTCTAGTCATTGTGGTCGGCAGCTCCCGGAGAACGAGTCCAACGCGGCCTCTGAGTCTCAAGCCAATACAGGTACCAACATAAAGAAGATGAACCGGAATAGATATATCAGTATCGGATGCATTGTTAGAAAACTCTTTCTCTCGAGCATCTGGCCTCATTCGAATCAGTGGTATGGGGCCAGTACTTCCGTCTGAATGCATTTCGTGAAGACTATGTAAATGGTCTGGCGCCTCCTGGTTTCCAAACCACAGTGCTTGGCGAAATTTCCCCTGGCCTCTGATGTATCCCTTTGCAACTGCACCGAAAATCGCCTTTTCTTCTTCCAGCTCAGTACACACCTCTAGGTGCGTTATCACAGGTTTCGGTGTTGGAAGATCAGATGGACGCGCGGACTGGGCGTACGTAAATGAGATTGAGCCGTTGACCGCAGCCCATGACCATGATGGAGCTTGGTGTTCCACAGGACGACCCTGAAGAACGATACCCGTATCGATATTCCACAGCAGGTCGTATGGGAGTGTCTGTTTCCAATGGCCCGCAATGTATTCATCTTGAAGTATAGACGAGAACCTCGCTGCAACGCCCGATATGGCAAGGCTACGATCCTTTGACACCGTAAGACTTCTCCTTGTATATTTCTCAACCACAGTCCGCCACGAATTTTCAACATCTTGGCGCCAGGTTGGATCCTCTTTGTTTATATACTGAGAATAAAAGTTATAAGGGATGTTAAGTCCCAAGGTATCCTCCCTGGTCCCGATTTTCCACCCGTCCGAATAGCCTGGTTTGTCTCCCGACTCACTACAGGCCCAAGACATTTGCTTTTCCGCATATTCTAGAAACCTAGGAGACAGATAGCGCTCTTGTAGAGTCCAGCCTCGACGATCGATGGGCTCTGGGCCTAGGCTATCTCGTATTTTCACGAGGAAGACTGTACCAATAGACGAGTCTGGGCATCGAAACGACAGTTTCACAGCAAGCTCTGTGATTGAATCAATGTCGATTTCATGGAGAAACCCATCAACGGCACGGTTTGCTCTAGTTGCAGAGATTGTAACAACAGCATTGCTATAGATCTCTGGCATCAATGCAATCTGCTGTGCCTTGTCACTATCGTCGTCTTGTACAATGCACAACGAGTCGACCCATAGATAGGTAAATCCAAGGCCAACGGTGACTTTGATGGCGTCTTGGATAGATGCTGGCAGACGTTTACAGTCCAGAGCCAAGTCACCAGAGTTGACTCTATCCTTTGTCGTCTTGTGAGGCTGGTCACCGCCCCAGCAATAACTAAGGGCCGTGTAAGGTTCCATTGATGATGGGTAATGCAGTGTTGCGTTGTAGTCTGATCCGACCTGACCTACTTTGAGAACAATCTTTGGCATGAAGGCCAATGTCGGCTGGGTACATTGTGTGTGTATTTCTAGGCATTCCGATACCCAAGAGCGAGCAAGGGCGAAATTCTCCTGAGATCCAATCTGCGGATTTATAGGGCGAGTGGTCACCATGGCCGCAGCAGGGTCGCCTGATCCTGTTAGCTCCCCTCAACTTCATCACAACATGTATACATACCTGTAACGGCCACCACGTCCAAATAAGCATATGTCAAAATTTTGCATCTACCAGTATTCTCATCATAGGGCTCCTTAGGGTCCCATAGGCCGATCCAGTCAATTTCAGTGAGTGGAAGCGGGTCGAAGCCATGAGATAAATGAGAGATGCAAATGTAAACTTCTTGGCTTCTTGATTTCAGGTCTTGCCACGAGGTCTTCGTAGACCAGCTTGTGATTAACCACTGAGAGAAACGACATGTAGAGGGTGAAGATAGGAGGGTGTTTAATTTTTCTTTCAAGAAACACGTATTCATCGGGGTCTTCTCAATACCAACAGGTTTGTAGGTTGGGTCTATGATCATGGTGCCACAAAATTGGCACTCGTGATATGTTGGATTCTTCATTATTGGGTTTGATCTTTCAATCGGTTGTATATGAGAAAGGTTATAGCTCTGAAATTACAGGTCGTCTCTCGCTGGCTTGTAGACTTCAACGTAGATATGTATGTCTGTTGGTTACATATTTGGTGGCAGCATCTACACGGTGGGGCAAGTAAGGCAGCAATGTCCGGATAAAACAAGCAATCGGAAGAGAGCGAGAAGGTGAACTGTGATTGTACATGATGAGCCCAAGTCAAATTCATTAACATTTAGCACTAAAAAATTCCTTCCTTTCCTCTTGACAAAATTTTGTTGTCTTTGCGTGTTCATTTTTGTTTAAGAACTTTTACGATTATTCTAACCGCTTCAGTGTTGAAGTCCAAACTCGTTCGCTACGCGCGACATGAATATTACTAGTGCATAGCAAGTCGGCCCCAAGGTCCGAAAGGTAGAGGCACTCCAATTGCTCCTCCCATCAATTGGCCAGGGATTCACCTGTTTGGTCATGGTGATTGCGAAGAGGAAAGGAGCACTGGCGGAAATGGGTTTGGTCTCGGGAGTTGCGGTTCGTGCCGCTGGTACCCCAAGATCTGACGTAGTTTTTCAACCCTTCAATTCCAACTGCCGACATCGCCAGCAACCACACAAACAAGGATAGCACGCATAAGGCTCAACATTCAGTTAACAAGTGGTCAAGTGGTGTAATTAGTAGTTGAATATTGGTATCTTTACGCTTATAAACAAATAATTACTATCATCCACTCAGTTCGCAACTATCGTGTAGTCTTTGCCCCATCACACCTAATGCATGGAGACACTCCCAGTAACAATCTTCAGTAGCCCGGAGCTGGTTGGCCCTCTGCTTAGCGTCTAAAGGTGGGGTGGAGGTCCTATGTGGGTCTGTGTAACATTAGGTCACGCAGCTAGTCCGTAGGCGTCAAAATCAGCAGCCCAACCTGCATCACACCCACAATACATAATCAAAAATATGTCACAACCATCCCAATCAAATCAGAACAACTGGTCGAGTCGTATAACGGTCAGTACAGTCGCCCCACAATTTCAATCGAACTTGAGGCGCGCGACAGACCCGGGTTCGATTCCCGGCTCGACTACACTTTTTGCTGCATCTCCAAACCTCAAACTCACGATACAGCCTCACCTTTTTGTAATCACCAAGACCACAAGCGTCCAATCAAATGAGAGGTCGAGTAGTATAACGGTAGAACGCGAGTTTCACAGATTGTATCATTCACTCGAGGCCCGGGTTCGATTCCCGGCTCGACTACAATTTTTGATATCTAACTCATATTTGCCGCCACATATGTGTTTTTTTGGGTCACAAACGTATGGAGGAATATGCAGAGTATATCCCTCCGTGACTTAATTATTGTATTACTACCTAGTAGCTTACTACCCGCCATCGCGGCTTGGTTGTAAAACATAGCGCCCGGGACTATCACCTCCCAACGTCAACCACGATTTTCTTAGACAATACAGTAGGAATGCAGTATTATCTTCAGGATTTGACTAGCAAGCAAGGTACCTAGACATGAATCCGATTCCATCTCGCATGAGGTTGTAGTGAACTTAAATAATAAAAAGGCTTGTGTAAGGAGTAACAGAACTCAGAGCTATATTGCCACTAGACAAGTATGGTGATAAAGATTGCAAAAAGTCGTAGCGACATGCAAATAAATACACATTTGATGGTCATTTGAATTCTTATTTTCATTCATAATTACATCTGTTGACAAAGGTAAACCTCAATTCCCAAACTCCTTTCTATGCCCATGGTATCATATCCCAACGCCAAAGCCTGCTATCCACTCATATATCAAGTGTGCCCAGCCAATCTTACACGTTTTGCATCGCTGTCTCTCAATGCCTCGCTTCGTGCCAAGAAATCCTGTCTTGCGGCATACGAGTCCTTTGACTTGCCCGCCAGCTCCAGCTCGTCCTTGATGCCCTCCTTGTCTACATATCCAGCCCAGTCCATTCGGCTCTTCTCCACGGTATTCAGCTTCTTGGCTTGTGCTTCCTTGGCTGCCTTCATCCTCGCCGCCAGTCCCAGGTTCAAATCGGTGCGGCCAGGTACGCCGTCCATGACGGGCTCAAAGGCAGAGCGAAATGCCTTTTTCGTGAGACGTTTTGCTGGTGTCGTATCTGCAGGGATATCTTCTTTTTGGGATGCAAGGAATAGCTTGGCTTCGGCAGAGTCTCTTGGTACGAGCTTCTCTTCGGTGTGAACCCGGCCAGCAAAATTGTATGTACGCTTGATGCGTATCATGGTAGATTCGTCATATTTTGTCGTTCCAGATTCGGTGCCATGTTTTTCGCCAGCGCTTTCTATTGAATCCCCGTTTTCTGCCTTTCCTTCATTTACAGTTGTATCGATTTTTGATGCTGAGGTGCCTCCAGTCATCATTTCCGCCCAGATGGCGTCCACATCGACGGTAACAGGACCTTTGCTTGTTGCATACTTGCGCTCTTCTTTCCTATCCAAGATATTAGCAGTGTGATTGTGGGTACTGCATTTGGGTAAACATACTCTGCCGCACGTTGACTCCGAGTCTTTATTAAACCGCCCTCTCCAGCTTCATCATCCACGGCTTCTTTCTTGGCTTTTGCTCGTTTCTGTCGCTTGCGCCCCTTTTCTATTATTGCCTCGTCGCCTGAGTTTTCGTAGTCATCTGCCTGCTCAGCATTCGCGCCAGTGATCGGTTGGTTACGTTTCGTGGTAGACTCGGTGGTGCCCTCATCTTCCGAGTCTGAGTTGCCGGATTCTAATTCCTGTGCATTTTCGGGTGCAAAGTCGGAATCTTGCGAAGATGCGTATTCTTCATCGTCGTTTATTTGGGGATCAGGGGGCATTTTGTGGGTTTATAATAAATGTTGCCTTTAACGAGGCAGATAGTAAGTTCGTGGTCGCGTTGTACCGCGGCGGCGATACTTTCTCGGTGAGGCATTGGTCCTTCGGTGTGGGGCCAATGATGTGGCGATTCACATGTCATTGACTCAGCTCTAGGTTCCGTTGGTGGTACGTACATTCTTAGCACTCTCCATCTCAAGAACGACCCAAGTCAAACTTCTGGTATGTCATATTGTAGCAACACTCACCCAACCCGTCTATTTCTCTCGATATGCATTTATAAATAGCTGAATACATGCTATGGAAAAAAACCGAATAATCAAAACGATTGCTAAGCAGAGCGAACAAAATACTTACCACAAGACACAAGATCAGTCCCTTCAGGGTAGCTATTACACACGTGTTCTGCTGCGTCAACACGTCAACGCTCACCTACATAACCTGTTGAATCTTTGGACATGGGCATCCGCAAGCTACTACGCTCTTATCGGGAAAAGCAAACAGATGATAAAATGGCGTCTCCCTCGGGCGTTCTCACGGAAGCCGAAAAAGAACACTTCCGGGCGAATGGATTTGTCCACTTGAAGAACTGTTTTACTCCAGAACAAGCACAGTCCATAACTGCTGATGTATGGACTCGACTTGGGATCGACCCGAATGACAAGACTACTTGGACGGCCATGTGGACGAATATGCCGCATCACAAAACATTTGATGCTGCAGAATTCGCCCCCAAGGCTTGGGCAGCCATTTGCGAACTCTGTGGTGGGGAAGACCGAGTATCACCACACAGCAAAGAATGGAGAGACGCATTGATTGTCAATCTCGGCACGCCTGATCTTGAGGGAGTTGAAATTCCTCCACAAAATCTTGAGGGTTGGCATGTTGATGGCGACTTCTTTGTCCATTACCTTGATAGCCCAGAGCAAGGACTGCTCGTTGTCCCTCTCTTTACAGATGTCTTGCCTGGCGGCGGGGGCACGGTGATCTGCCCCGATTCAATCCCCAAACTTGCTAAGCATCTCTATGAGAATCCTGCTGGCGTGTCGCCTAGGATGGCGCCTCGGGGGCACCCGGATTTTTCCAAGGAGGAAAACCTGCCCTGGTTTCATCAAACAGCGAAATCTTGCAGCAGGTTTGTGGAAATTGCTGGCGACTGTGGTGATGTGTTTCTGCTACATCCTCTTATGCTTCACACTGTGTCTACCAACCCCCGTCGTCTGCCACGCATCATTACCAATCCACCCGTGTCTCTCAGGGAGCCCTTTAGATTCAACAGGGCTGACGGAAATTACACATTGGTGGAGCAGGCGACCCTTAGAGCGCTGGGTCAAGATAGATTGGAAAGCTGGAAGATTACATCGCCCAGAGAGTTTATCGTGCCAGGCAGACTAAAAGCACAGGAGAAGATGAAGGAAGACGAGCTGAAAAGGATGGGAGAGACTTAATAGACGTATGGATAAAGATGATGAAATACTGGCTGTAGGTCGTCATGTTCATTTGATCTTGTGGCACAAGCAAACCGTTAGGCTCCCATTCACGAATGCTGACAAGTTGGATGATTTACAAGTAGATGGTAAGCAGTTCTTCCGACATTCCAAACATGAAACCCTACGGAGTACATGAGCGGGGACGGCATAGCCGGGCGCTGACATGGAAACACCTTCTTGGTTTGCTTAGGTTTGCTCAATATGAGCTATGGAAGGCCTAGAGTCATTATGCTGCTGCGTATGGGGAAAGTTCCGGTTCGTATTGTTTATTTGTTTGACCAAATGTTTGTGCGGATATATACCTGTATTCAGTAGATGGCTCCAGTGGCACTCCGAGACTTTGCCCGTGATTAATCTAACCCACCAGGCATCGATCATTACCGGCTTTGCTTTTGGTGGAATTCACGCGTGATTTATCGATTGTTTCACGGGAGCCCCGAGTGTAGAAACCGCCTTTCTGAGTTGGCCACCTTGTGTGGGTTGTTTTCGGTGAGACTGCAGCTTTTGCATCGCATGTGGGCGGCAAAGAACATTCTTGGATGCAAAAACCTTGTTTAGTGTTGAGTAAAAGAAAAATGACTGGTTAACTTCTCTCACAATCTTGGGTTGACAGGGAATCATGATGTAAAGACGAGACAGTTGGGCGCCAAGGTTGCCAACATGGCTGCAGGGCCGCCTGTGTTACATTCAAGCTCCGTCCGCATTACGGGTCGTTGGATGGTGGCGCTCACACTCCCATCGTGCCCCTGCCACTCTTAAAATTTCCGTCTCCCCTCCTCCACCCTTCCTTAAACTCACCGTCTCTCCTCTCTCTCGTCACTCGACCTAAGAGTAGCCCCCTCCATACATACTCGTCCACCATACTCGCCCACCATGGCCAGCGACGACGACTTCGAAGTCGAGGTGCCCGATCTGGCAGAAGATGATCCGATGAGAGCATTCCTACCGACATCATTCGGTAAGAAATCAAAGGAAACCAATATTGCGGCCCAAATAGACCGAAGCCGGAGGAATGTGGACAAGGCAGCAGCGCCAGCGGGCAGTGTAGCCAGCGACAAGATACAGCAGCCACAAGAACCGAGAAAGAAGCCAGACTCGAGCGACGACGACAGCAACGGTGACGACGATGGCAGTGACAATTCTGACGAATCCGACGACGAGGATGAGTTCCCAGTATCGCATGAATTAGTTTTAGCGACACAAGAGCGTGCTGTGACGACGGTCTCGTTGGACCCTGCTGGCGGCAGATTGGTCACAGCATCGCTAGATTGCACAATCAAGCTTCACGACTTCGCCTCCATGACACCGACGACCCTTCGCGCATTCAAGACCGTCGATCCCTACGCCGCAAAGCGAGCTTCCGCGACTGCAGAGTCACACCCTATCCATCATATCGAGTTCAACCCTTTATCAGGCAGCGTCTTTCTCTGTGTATCAGCTCACCCGCAGGCAAAGATTATGTCACGAGATGGCGAGATTGTGACGGAGTTTGTCAAGGGAGATATGTATCTTCGGGACATGCATAACACCAAGGGCCACATTTCCGAGGTTACGACAGGCACGTGGCACCCCACGGACAAGAATATTTGTGTTACAGCCGGAACAGACAGCACTCTTCGAATCTGGGACATTAACAACAAGCGCTCACACAAGGACATTATTGTTTTCAAATCGAAAGCTGCAGGCTTGGCTGGACGCACCAAAATGACTGCTGTCGCATGGGGCACTCCAGCGCAAGGCGGAAACAATATTCTAGTTGCCGCTGCTTTGGACGGTACTCTCGTCATGTACAGCGGGAATGGCCCATTTTCGAGACCTGCTGGAGAAATTCGAGATGCCCACAAAGCTCAGACTTGGACGGGCGGTATTGATATTTCATCAGACGGCCGCATGGTTGTGACCAGGGGAGGCGACGATTTGATCAAG